ATTTCAGATTGGCTCATTTATTTGTTTTATTGCTAATTCACTAAAGAGCATATACTTTACAATCATTCCAAGCATGGAATCTCCATTGATATCATTAGGATTTCCACGCCGACTGGATGTAGATAAATGGATGTCACTAAGGGCCTGCTCTAAAGCCCACTGAAGTCAATGTAATACCCCCACCAACTTCAATGGGCTCTGAACCAGGCCGTAAATCAGAAATAGATTAAACAAATCTCTCTCCATGTTTTTTGGTTTGTCTCATATCTTCTTTTCAGATTTTGCTAGTATCTCCTCTCCTTTTCTCCACAGCTTCTCTGGTCCTCTGGGGTGCAACTTCCAATTAGTTGGACATGCAAAACTTTTGTGCTGCTGCAATTGTGGAAAGCGTGACAGAGCTATTAAAAAAAAAAGAATAAAAAAAGCTGTCTCACTTGTCTATCTTAGGTTTCTTGATTTCTCAAGCACCCTGGAAATCAGACTTTTCACTCTGAACTTGCTATTTCTCATTGCTCCTAAATGTGCAGATGTGAGAAAGAATGAGAAATTATACTCAGCACTTTTTCAGTGTTTTTCATTATAAAAATCATTTCCAAATTAGTTGAGTATCACAGCAGCCCTACAAGTAAGGTTAGTGCTATCCCATCCCCATTTCACAGAAGGCAAAACTGAGAGGTAAAGTGGTTTGCCAAAGGTAGAAGCAAAAGTCTGTGTCAGAATCAAGAGTAGAATTCAGGAGTTTCTTTGGTGATCCTTCAGACACGCTGCATCCCATTAGCTAGGAATTTTTCAGATTAGTTTAATAGATCAGCACTAAGGGCCTGATTTTGGTTTTATGCTGGTTTTATGTCAGTGCAACTTCGTTGACTTCACTGGAGTGATTTCTGAATTATACCAGTTTAAGTGATAGTAGAAACAGACCATAAATTATTTGTACTGACAAAGTTGGGGACTGAGACTGCTCTCACAATGATGTAAATCAGGTATAACGTCACTGAAATAAGTGATAGGTGAAAAAGTCACTCAATATTTTAATATAGCAGATTACAAATGTTAAGAAAAGCTAAATGTTGTTGAAAGAAAAACCTGCTTGTAGTGTCCTTTTGGATTCCTTATTTGTTACAAATCAAATGCTTTAGATTATATGATTTATACATTTCTTCTACTTACTACACCTTGCTCACTTTGTATCAAAATTAAAATCTACCCAGGGAAACTGTAGTAATTAATTACTTTACCGTATTTCGTATCCATGGTTATTTTGTACCATTCCTCCCTGCAGACTACCTTTTTTTCCTATTATCTTAAATATGACTAAAATGAGAAGTACTATAAAATTGCCGGTCAGATGTGTTTATAAGCATAAACTGTGTCTGTCCTGGCCCAAAATGACATTTGTGAACACTCTGCACTAATTGTGTCAAAATCAGACTAATCCTGTTTGAACTCAATGCATGTGTGCACACGGTAGAGTGGAACTACAGCAAGGATTGATTTAGCCTGATGTGCACCAAAGTTCTCATAGATGATTCAGATGAGATTTTCCCAAGTGCTCAGAACTGGCCTAATTCTGCTCCACCTGGAGTCAATTAGGCCAATACTGAGCACTTTGGCAAAGCCTGATTTTCACTGGTAGAGGAAGAGGAGAGTTGAGCAGAAGTAGAACAACAAAAATAAATATACTCATGAAAATACACGCATTAAAAAAAATCTATTGTGAACCACAACTTGAGAAAAAGAGTAGCCTAACTGTACATCTGGAACCAGAAGCTCTTAAATTGATACTGACTTCTGCTTATGGCCATGAGCAGATTACTTAACCTTATAGCCCCAACTTTCATATGTGTGAAATGTGGATAATTCCTATGTTATATGGCTATTGTGAGCATTAATGTTTGTAAAGCATTTTGAAGATGAAAAGTGGTCTTTAAGTATCATTGTCATTAAATGTAATAATGAATCTGACTAAGGGCAATCACAGAGACAAGGTGCGTGACGTTTTATTGGACCAACTTCTGTTGGTGAGAGAGATGAACTTTGGAGATTACACCGAGCTCTTCTTCATGTCTGTGAAACTTCCTTAGAGCATCACCACTAAATACAAGATGGAACAGATTTATATAAGCATGAAAATTTGTCTCTCTCACAATATAGGTTGGTCCAATAAAAGATATTACCTTACTCACCTTATTTAATACCCTGGGACCAACACAGCTACAACAACACTGCGTAGGAGCTATCGTGTTCTTTTTCAATGAGTAGGACAGTATGCAATAGACTATATGGAACAAGTCAACTGTGCCAAACTGTGAATGATGACCAATACAAGGAAGAGCCATATGCACACACTAACACACACAAGTATGAACATATGTCTCCCTGTAGGAAACAAGTGAGTGCTTATAATAAATACAGCCACAAAGAAAAAGTGATCAGGGATGTAAGTGAGAAACGTTAGTGGGTATTTACAGCATTATCTTCAATTATGCCTTTCTCAAAGGGAGTGTATATGCCATGCATTGTATGAGCACTCCTTCCCCTATTGGCATGCTTACAAAAATAGCATGTGCTAGCAGCATTCATGAACTCAACAATGAAAGTAGCATGAAAACCCTAAAAATGCACTGTGGGGGTGGTTTATGGCAAGATAACACTAGTAGTACAGAGCAGAAATGAAGAGAGTTATGCAGAACACGTACACAGAGGCAGGCAGATACATATACTTGCATATATCTATGCATTTGTCTATCTGTGCCTGGCTCTGATGTTGATTACACACACAGGAGATGCGTCTCATTATCTTGGCGAGTCAAAATATGACATACATTACCAACAAGGGAAAAAAAGAAGGAAACAAAGAAGGGAGAGCGAACACCTGTCGCTCTCCTTGGGGACAAGACCTAATGCTTTTATTTGATTCAGTCTGTTGAGGGGACTGCAGCTGCCAACTGTCATCAGCATCAAGTTACATTCACAAAGCCAGACTATTTCATTCTTTAGGTTAAGGAACAGAAGAGGCAACAAAATCCAACAAGGAAGGGAGGAAGTTTTCATCGTGTTGCAAATACATTGGATCGTGATTCTTTATAGGGTTTCAACTTTTATCTTGATGATCAGTCTGATTTTTGAAGCACACACACAGTGGTTCATGCTAATTGCTAAATAATTCAAGTATTTAAAAGAACAACATCGCCTTTGGGTATGTAGCATGAATTCTAGAAAATGATAACTGTTAGACGTTCATGGTATATCCTGGAAGATTTGCTGATAACAGTGGCAAGTCTTTTATGGGATTCTGATACTCTATGTTAGTGCCAAGGATTGTAAAAAACCCCTATAAATAATAGACCAATAATCTGCAGTAACAGTAGATCTGTGTTTCGGTCTTTCACAGGGATTGTACTGTGGTATTTTATTGACCACTCCTTGTTTCCCCAATAAACACTATAAAAGAATGAAAGATTTCGAGAATTATTTTATTACTTTCTTAATTTTCCCAAAATGAAGAGGAAATTAGAATTTCAGAACATATTTCCATGTTCCTCAGAATTTGCTGAATGCATATTTGACACTATATATACAAAAAAAAAAAGTTTTCCTTTCTATTTACTTTGTCTCCTCCATAACTCATGCAGGCTGCCCCTTCTCCAGAGAGATACCTCAAAGGAAAGAAATGTAATAAGGGGGTCCTTTGAAATCTCATCTTTCCTCTTGTGAAGTTATTCAACTTCTCCTATTTAAATAGGAAGGCTTGAATTCTGCCCTTAGACTGATTTATTTGGGCATTACATACAATTACCTCAAGACAGAAGTTAGTCCTCCAAAGAAACAAAAAAATATGTTTCACTTTTATTTAGACTGGAGTATCAGGTATTAGCCCTACATATGTGAAGCAGTGAGTGTAACGGATATCATAGATACTACACTGTCCAAAAGGTATACATTGGAAAGTGGTGCACATAAACTTTTCACTGTCCTACTTTCTACATTTCTCAGCTAATGGTTCCAATTACTGGACATGGGGGAGTAATGCTTCCCCCCCCCCCCAATGTTTTTGCATTTGCTCAAAGTTCCATAGACTTCAGACCTGGGAAGGCCCCCAAAGGCCCATTTTTAAACAGTGGTCCCATACTAAATCAGTACAGCTGCTACTGGTCTGGTCTGGAGCATCGCTGGAGCTGCATGGTGCCAATCCCATTAAGTTGACTGGGTCACCTTTCTGGCCAGATGGAATGGTGGGTGGGGCAAATTTCAGGGAGTGGGATTGCAACCTGGGGCACGAAGTCACATCATCACTCAAACGTGGCCCGGTCACCCTCTGCTCTGTCCAGACAGACGTGCATCGGGGCCAAAGGGTGTTGCATCAGGAGTCTATTCCAGTTGGGTGGAGCACAGAGGAGTCTACCAAGAACTTGACTCCTGGCAGCACCAGATCATGCAGTGTTCAGGTAAGAGAGGGACGAATCCCTGGCCCAGGGAGACCCGAGGTCCATGTAGATGGGGTGGGAACTGGAAATTGCCCCCTCCCCCACGAAACATGTGAATTGGTGCCAGTGTTTCTATCCCTTATCACACGTCTGAGCCTCCCTTAGAGCCCTGGGCGGGGATTACAGCCCAGCACCACTCCCCTAGAGTTGAGATTGAACCCTGGGTACAGCTGGACTCTCTGTGTGTTCCCAATATACCGAGACAAACACGCCTAAGTGAGTCCCAGTACACAGGAGACAAAAAAAAAAAAAAAAAAAACAGGCAGGGAAGGACCCCAACCAACACCATCCAGCCTGGGGCATCGTGCCCTACCCCAGCCCTCTCGCCCCCCTCCCGCTGCACTGGCGGAGGCTCAGAGCGCCCCTGGATAGACAAAGCGCCCGTCTCTCATTGGTCAGTTTGCCTAACGCTGGGGCTTCTCCCGGCTCGGCGTGACCAATGGGCTCATTGACATGCAAATCAGAGGCTATAAGTAGGGCCGGGGAGTGGCGGCGCCAGGAGGGGGCGGGGGAGAGGGCAGTGGGCAGTGGGGACGCTAGCGGGCCGCCCGGTGCAGAAGGCCGCCCCTGTGCACCGCTTGCCAGCTGCTGCCTCCTGCGCCCCTCCCCCATCCTCCCCCCAGCCCGCGGTGTCTGCGCCGCGCTCTGCCATGGCCCCGTCCTCTCGGCCCAGCAAGAGCCGGCCCAGCCGGGAGGAGGAGGATTTCTGTGACGCGAGAGGGGGGGACAGGAAGGTGAGCCGGACCCGAAGGGGTCCCAGGCAGGACCCCCGGCGGGGGGGAAGGGGGTAGAGGCGGCAGGACCCCCGGCGGGGGGTAGGGGCTGCAGGACCCCCGGCGGGGGCACTGGAGCCGCGGCCTGGCCTCAGGGGGCATGCGGCAGTCGGTGCAATGTGTGTTTCCCCTTCTCCTTCCCCAGGCCAGGAAGCCGCTGGTGGAGAAGAAGCGGCGAGCGCGGATTAACGAGAGCCTGCAGGAGCTGCGGCTCATCCTGGCCGACACGGAGGTAGGGCTGCGGCAAGGGCGCGGGAGCGGGGGCGCCGCGCCGGGAGCCGGGGGGCCCTGGCGCGGGGCTGATCGCTGTCCTCTCTCGCCGCGCCCCGGCGGGCAGTTTCAGGCGAAGATGGAGAACGCCGAGGTGCTGGAGCTGACCGTGAAGCGGGTGCAGGGCGTGCTGCAGAGCCGGTCTCTCGGTGAGTCCCCCTCGGGCACGGGAGATGCGGGGGGGAGAGGGGAAGCCGCTTCCCTCTAACGAGGGGGCTGCAGCATCCCGAGAAGTGACGTGCCAGCCGTGCTGTGAAGGGGGAGGGGTTGGCATGGCCAGAGATCGCGGGTGCTGGGGGGAGGGAAGGGGCTCCCCCCCTTTGACTCCAGCTATGTGTGTTTCCCTATGGGTGTTGCTGCTGCTGCAGAAAGTGACAAGCTGCACCGGGAGGCTAGCGAGCGGTTTGCAGCCGGGTACATTCAGTGCATGCATGAAGTTCATACCTTCGTCTCCAACTGCCCGGGGATTGATTCCACCGTCGCTGCCGAGCTGCTGAACCACCTGCTGGAGTCCATGCCACTCAACGAAGGCAGTTTCCAGGACTTGATCGCGGATGTTTTGTCAGAACCCTCCGTCAGTCCCTGGCCTGGCAGTGAGGGGCTCTCCCAGCCAACGGGGGTGTCCCCTGCTGCTCTGAGCCTGGCCAGCCCCCCTTCAGCTCTTCTTTCCCCTTCCTCCAGTGAAGAGACCTGCTCGGATCTGGAAGAGACAGAGGCTGAGCAAAGCCCGGCCTCCCCAGCTGGACTGGACAGCTCCAGGACACACAACGTGCCTTCACCTAGCTTTTCCAAATCTATGTGGAGACCTTGGTAAATAAAGAAACTGTACAGGAATCAACAAAGATCTACCTAATAATGGGAGAATACTTGAGCACTGTGTTCTCCTTACAGCCATTGGAATGGACAGGGGCTTTCAGAGGGTGCATTTGTGTGTCTAACGTTACTGTATATTGGGACTGCATAGATGGCACTCTTACACTGTCAGACCCTGACAGGTTAATTGTTAAACGTGTTAACATTTCATCTATTTGTGTGTGAGATGTTTTGTAACAATTGGATTGTTCAGGAGAGTTTGGGGTGTGAGGGTGGGGAGGGAGGAAGAGAGATTTTTTTTGTAGCAAAGCTCTTTGGTGGATGCACAGCAGTATTTCACAGCCTTGTCTCTTTCTCTGGGCCCTTATAAATGGCCCAAATATCACTCCCTTTTTCTATTAAGAAAAAGCCCTTGTACATTTTATATCTTGGTGGCTCACTCAATGAGAGGTATAGGAGTTAAATGTGCATGCACAATTTTAAGAGTTATAGTGATAGTAAAGATCCCTGAAAGGGATTGGTGTGGTTAGAATTTTTATTATTTAGTGATCTAGAATCTTGCCTTCAGTGAAGGAAGAGTAAACTAGAGATCAGTTGGAATTAGACAAACATTGAAAATATTGGTGGCAGGGTGCCTTTTAGAAATCAGTGTTTTATGCACATTTTGCTTTTAGCACATCTGAGTTTATTGTGACTTTATGTATATTAGGGTGTCAAATGTTTTATTTTTAATCTTTTTAATAAAAAATATTGAATTCACAAAGGATTGCATGTATTTTGGAGTGTGATACACTTCTAACCACTTTAAAATTAAAAATCCAGTTCCATACTGTTTGCTGTTAAATTTGTATCTGTTGTGGACACACTGCTGGTAATTTAGCACTTAGTTCTTGTACTAAGCATTGTTAGCTCAAGTATTGGAATTTGAATGTTTCTTTTGTTTAATACTGAAAGATGCTTAGGATATTATTGAAGGGAGCAATGTAGTTGTGTTGTTGTTTGACTTTAGGACACTAAAATTCCTAGGCATGGTTACATGAATGCCATTCTAAAGAAACTGCTCTTAACTTGATTTCCCCAAGTAAGTCTCTTTTTGTAAAGCTGTAATTATAACTTAAGTACTAGGCAGATGCTTTACTTGTGGCTTGACTTTACCTGTACATTTTTTCTGCTGAGGAATGACAGGTGTTGAAAAGAAGTGTGTGAAATAGAATTGAAAATTTTCTTCAAAAAGGAAATACTTCCAGTGACTTCTGGAGCATCAACATTCCTGTATACAAGGTCATACACCTCAATGTTCCTATTTTTGGAAGATATAGGCTATTTATGCTGTGATATTACCTTTCACAGAGCTGTCATCGTTACAGGAAAAGTATTGTGAAGTTGCTTCCTTAGTACATGGAGGTATTTGAGCGTAGAACCATCTAGGAGAGGAAGCAAAATAAGTACATGGGGACTAAGACATGTAACTTTCCTTTGTTAACGACCCTATGGAACAATAAAATCAGATATCTAAATTATTGGTAGACCTCTGCTTTGTAACTTTCTTTAAATTATCTGATGTGGGTGTTTTTTCATTCACAGCTGGGTACAGAGTTGTTTGTTTTCCCCAGTTGTGCTAAAATTCTCGCCTGCCTTTGAACTAGCAAGAAGGGCAATGCTCCTCAAAAGGGAGGTGAGAGCACTGCCTGTAAAGACCTTTCTGCTTTAGGGAGGGAGGGTGGTGTTTTGATGTGTAAATGGAAGCAGTGGCATGGACAGTTCAACTAAAAGTAACACCCAAAGCACAAAATGACATCTCCTGGAAACTGGCATTTCACAGAGTGAATGCAATCCCAGATTTGCTTAAAAAAAAAAAGCCATTGCCTTTCAGTAATACATTCATTTTGAAAATTTTACTCTCAGCCTCTGCTCACTAGTACTAATAACAATGCATTATAAAGATAAATGTGTATTATCCTGCAACATTAAAAACATTTGGCCCTACTTTTAGCCTCTAGCAAACAGTTTACTTATCAGATTTTCTCAAGGGGAAGGTAAAACCACAGGCTGTTTCCTCAACCCATCACCAACCAAAATGTTGAGTATTTTAAAACCCTAGGCCAGGGATCACCAGCAGGGCACAGAATGGGAGACCTGCACTAATCTTTCTCAGGATGGGTAGGAAAGGGAAGACTGAAAGCTAACCTGCTCTAAGGCAGTGAAGTGATGTGCATAGCGCCCCCTGCAGCTTAAAGCAAGCATAAGACATAATTGAGCTTAGGTTGCATGCACTTGCCTGAGTTTAGAGATTTAAGTCATCACGAGACACTTGGTGAAGTCCTGTGCGTTCATCCGTCTCAGAGCATTTTCACAATCGATCGCACACATCCAACAAGCTGCTCTGGCAGTGGTTGTCCTCAAGCTCCTCCAAGTGTACAGCTTGTGCGGAGATTCCCAGGCAGCAGGGGAAGTGCTCCGGAGTCTGTGGGAAGTGCAGCAGCAGCTCAGCTTGGTTTCATTTCCATGAGATGAAAGAGACTCTTGGTTAGGGCTCTTCTGATGCCCCTGTGAAAGCAAAGTGCAAATCCTGACACTTCCACGATGGAAACATGGCCAAGAGACAACATCAAAAATGCCAGCTTTGGTTCAGCAGTGGATTTTGTGGCTAGCAATAGTCATTCTCCACCCCCCTTTGTAAATGACACTGTAGATTGAGGGTAAAAGGCTTTCCCTTATAAAGCCTTGGAGAAGGGAAGCTAGGTGGTAAATACTGTGATTCCCTAACTATACATACTCACTGTATTTATCTCTCACACCCACATGCCCTACCTTCTGCATTTTGCTGCAGCTGAAGAAAGCAAGCACTGCCTGGTGCATATTTAGCCCACTCTGGAATGTTACAGCAGTGGATTGATGGCTTTTTGTAACTGTCGAATAACATAACTGAATACTCTAAAAAAGAAAAAAAGGGAGTACTTGTGGCACCTTGGAGCTCATGAAAGCTTATGCTCAAATAAATTTGTTGGTCTCTAAGGTACCACAAGTACCCCTTTTTTCTTTTTGGAGATACAGACTAACACGGCTGCTACTCTGAAACCTGAATACTCTAGTGATTGTTGCTGCATATGTGTTTTTAGGGGCACTGAGGGAGTGACATACTAGCCCTGTAGCCATGCAAGTCCCCAGTGTGCTTCTTAGATTGTGTTAGTGGAGAAGCTGTGTCCACAATGAAATACACAAACAGCAGGAGGAGGTTTTAGTTTTAGGTATGTTAACTAAGGGCGTCTGCTCTTTTAATAAAACCAGAACGCCTGGGTATAAATAATAACAACAGAAACCAAGTGTGTGTACTCCACCCTTCCTGGAGGGAGGGAAATCTACTTTTCTGTTCATAATTCTCAACAGTGTTTTAGTTCTAAGAAAAATCAGCTAGGCCCAAGCAATACAATTAGTCCCAAAAAGTGTCAAAAGCATTTTAGAAATGTGCTAAAGTAGGGGATTTTTTTAAATCCACAAATTAGGTTCACAGAAAGTTTACATCCTCTGATTATGTGTTGCTGGATTTCTAAATTTGCATTTCTGTACCTTACTGGAAAGGTGTCAGATGTAACACTTTCCTGACAAAGGCAGGAAGAGGTGAGCATTGGGGAGGGAAGGAGGTTTCCAGCAGCTCTGATGGAAGGGGAAAAAAAAAAAAAAAAATCAATGCAGCCCTTTTCAAGTCCACTCACAGAAACTGCCTTTATTCTTTTCCACTCCAAAGTAATATAAACACGCTCTCTGATCTGACACCGCACCCCATTGTAAAAGGAAAGAGAAGCAGCCCACAAAAAGAGGATCTCTTGTTTGATATGCAGTTGAAGGCTTAGATAAGGATGGACTCATTCTCTCTCCCCCTTCCAGTATATATTAGTTACTCACACCTGTTGCAGGGAAGAATTGGCCCCTGGTAGAGCAGGATAGTGCTGATGATTAATGAGGTAGGCATGATAGTGCTCATGATTAATGAGTCAAACATTCTTATAAACATAGTGGCAATACCATCAAATATTTTTGAGCAACTGTATCTTGGGCAGGATGTAGAACTTAGCCATCACTTAAAGGTTCACAATCAAGGTTATTATATTCTAAATTTGACCTACCTTTTCCTTATTTACATTAGCAAATGTGTGTAATTCTCCAGTTTTTCCCTCGAAACAGATGCTTTAATTCTCTTAATTAAAAATAAAACAAAGGAATTAAAAAAAAAAATCAAAAGTCAGCAGGCCAGTACTCATAAGCAGCCCTAGAGAAACAGACCAGGATGAACACAAACAGCCAGGAGAAAAAGACAAATCCAAACAGATTTCATTTCAAGCTTCCCAGAAGTTAGTCCAACAATATCAAGGACTAAGATTTTTAAAGATATGAAAAGTGTTCTGATAAGGAATATAAACCCTGATAATTGATTTTATATGCATGGTTTATTTTTTAGCCAGAGTGCCTTCTATGAAAAAAATACAGGAACTATTGACATCTGAAATATTTTTTCTCCTTTAAATTCTCCCTCAAAACTCACTTCTTTCAGGAAGCCTTTCTATTACTCATTGTTGGTATTACAGTCATGCCTAGAGGCCCCAGTGAAGATGGGGCCTCATCGTGCTAGGTGCTGTACAACACCCGCAAAAGACAGTCCCATAACATCTAAACAGACAAAGGGTGTCAGAAAAATAACAATTATTCCCTCTGTCCAGATGGGGACCTGAGGCACTAAGACTTTGCGCGAGGTTGCATAGGACACGTTCAGCAGAGCCAGGTATTGAACCAAGACCTCCTAAGGCCATGTCTACACTACCCACTGGATCGGCGGGTAGCGATCAATCTATCACGTCTAGTGTAGACGCAATAAATCGATCCCCGATCGCTCTGCTGTTGACTCCGGAACTCCACCACGGCGAGAGGCAGAAGCAGAGTTGACGGGGGAGCAGCAGCCGTCGATCCCACACTGTGAGGATGCAAAGTAAGTGATTCTAAGTCAATCTAAGATACGTCGACTGCAGCTACGCTATTCTTGTAGCTGAAGTTGCATATCTGAGATCTATCCCCGCCCCCCACCCCACCCCCACCTCCACTGAGTGTCAGGCCAGTACCTTAATTACAAGGTCTTCCTTCCCCTGAGAATATGACCTTGCTTTCCTGCACCTGAACAATGGTTCCATATACTATTTATACATGGTCTGCTATGGAGTGCCTGAGCCCAAAAACCCTTACACAGATAGTCCTTGCCCAAGTAGTTGGGCCCACTGAATTCATTTACCTTTAAATGTAAGCCGAATAGGCTGTGTGCTCCATGGGCAGGGCTTGGACACAGTAGAAAAAAAGACACTCATTCGTTCTCTGTGACTGTACCTCTATATACATCATTGGTGATACTGACCCTGGAATACTGTGTAGAGTCTGGTGTGCATGTTTTAAAGAGAATGTGGAAAAACTGGAGAGGGTGCAGAAAAGAGCCACTGAAATGATTCAAGCACTGAAGAAAATGCTTTACAGGGAGAGACTTAAAGAGCTCCAGCTGTTTAGCTTATCAAAAAAAGATTGAGAGATGACAATTACTGCATATAAATATCTTTGCAGGGAAAAAATACCAGGTACTAAAGGGCTCTAATCTAACGGAGAAAGGCAGAACAAGAACTAATGGCTGGAAGCTGAAGCCAGAGAAATTCATTAGCTTCTCTTCAATGGCCTTATCTTCCTTGAGTGCTCCTTTTGCACCTTGACCATTCAGTGGCCCCACTGATTATTTAGCAGGCTTAAGAGGTACTAAATAAGAATTGCCTCTCCCCGCGTGGATTCCAGGACAAGCTACTCCAAGAAGCAGTTATTAATGGCATCTAGACATTTTTTATCTCTGTATCCCATCCTGAGGTAACATACCCAGTCAGTATGGGGATAGTTGAAATCCCCCATTATTGGTGGGTTTTCTGTTTTTGTAGCCTCTAATCTCCCTGAGTGTTTCATAATCACCATCACAGTCCCAGTCAGGTGGTCGGTATTATATTTCTACTGTTATACTCTTAGTAGTCAAGTAGGGAATATGTATCCAAAGAGACTCTATGGTACAGTTTGATTCATTTAAGATTTTTACTATATTTGACTCTTTGCTGTCTTTCACATATAGTGCCATTCCTTCACCAGCAAGCCTACTCTGTCATTCCTATATATTTTGAACCCTAGTATTATTGTGTCCCATTGATTGTCATTGTTTCTATGAAGCCTATTATATCAATATCTTCATTCAATACCAGGTGCTCAAGTTCACCCATCTTAGTATTTGGACTTCTAGCATTTGTATACAAACACTTATAAAATTTGTCAATAGTTAGTTGTCTGCCATTATGTGATGTAATTGAGTGGGGCTCTTTTTCATTTAATTGTTTCTCTTCAGTTCTGATCTGTACTTTATGAACATTTGTCCTCTCCTCTTTACTAAGATATAGAGAATCCCCTTTAATAAATCCTCCCCTGAGGGATGTATCTGTCCAAATTATATGCTCCT